CGGCCATCATTTAAACTAGATTAAACGACGCTGGACAAATAATCGCAGAGCAGCACAAAGTTGGGCTGGACGTGCACAGATGCAAACCCTCCACTCCGGGCTCTGGAGTCCCTCCTGCTCCAGGCGGCCCCACCCGTACAGCCGGGAAACGGAGGTCGCACACATGCACAGCCGTCTACCCACGCACAGTCGCAAGCAGAGCTTCATGGCCACAGAGGGGAAAGTGAGGACACACACAGACAGCCACGGACCCACGCTCGCAGACACAGCTCCCCGAACCTCTCCTCCCGCGCCGCCGCGAGAACCCAGCTTCCCGGCCCCGTTCCACTGCTCACCCGCGCCAGGCGCGTCTCGGGGTCGACCCCAAATATCGCGGTATTTCTGCCGCCCTCCCGCGGAATCTGACTGTCACGCCTCACGAGAGCACCGTGGGGGCTGTGTGTCGCGCAGCCTTCTGGGAGCTGTAGTCCACTTCTCTGTCTTCCAGGAGTTATAGTCCACTGGGGAAATCCTGGAGCAACCCTGGCTTCCTGTTCTTTGTATTGCTGGGACTCTCGATAGGGGCTGGCATAACTGTCCGACCGCCTCTCCTCACTCCTATCAGCCCCATACACACTGCTCGTTGCTTGGAGCCTTTTTTTTTTTTTTTCTTTTTTTTGCTGTTGTCCCAGGTTTATTGAATATATTACAGTATCCCAAAAAGATTCAAACAGCTCTACATGGCGTTTTGAAATTCATCCCCACTGTCGGCTGAGTGACCTGCAGGTTGGACAGACTGCCAAAGTCCAAAAACATCAGCATTTCCTTAATATCAGGATCTGTTAATACTTCAGTGATCTCCTGATCCAGGCCTGAGACCTCGGGAACATGATCACCTCTCCTTTCTCTCTTCTCCTCCTGCAACTTGATGGAGATACCTCTCACTGAGCCCTTCATATCACCTTCATCACATGCATGTTCTAGCCTGCTATCTTGTTGGGGAGCTTTTTTTTTCTTCCTTTTTGAGACAGGGACTGGCTCTGTCACCCAGACTGGAGTGCAGTGGTGCTATCTCCGCTCACTGTAACCTCCACCTTTCGGGCTCAAGCCATCCTCCTATCTCAGCCTATTGAGTAGCCGGGACTACAGGAGTGCACCATCATGCCAGACTAGTGTTTGTATTTTTTGTAGAGACGGGTTCTCACTCTATTGCCAAGGCTGGTCTCAAACTTCTAGGCTCAAGCAATCTGCCCACCTTGGCCTCCCAAAATGCTGGGATTACAGGAGTAAGCCACCGCACCCAGGCCTGGGGAGCTTTTTGCTGGAAATAATGGTGATCTCCTTTCACATGTGCTTGTTTGTGTGGAAGTTGCTGCCCGGGTGCGTGTAGTACTTTTTTATGACGGAATATAGAAAAGGGCCATCTTCACGGTGTTAGTGTGAATGGGGCCCATGTTGGCAGGTCCTTAGTAAAAGAGGGCTCAGGGCACTTAATGCTGAATATTTACCAAGGTTCTTCTATTTTAGGTGCACAGGATACACACAGGATACAGGATAAATCAGATGCGTCCCTGTTCTTGACACAAACAGGGACACAGAAAATGACAGGGTAAGATCCTCCATGAGGAAGCAACACCTCCAGGCAGGAAAGCCTTCTTGAAGGAGTGACTTGAGATGAATCTTGAAGGACAGCCAGGAGCTTAGATACAGGATCCCAACAGCGATCCAGGTGGAGGGCATCGAATGGGCAAAGGGAAGGCAGCAGGAGAATGCACATTGGGCATGCTTCCCTGCCCCTTTCATTTTTTAGCCTTCACAGGCCCCAGAAACCTCTGTATTCATTGAGGTGGCTAAAGCAGCTGTGGGTTCCCTGCCCTGAGCTGAGGTGGGGCCTCTGCTCTACCCCTGCCCTTGGCTGCAATGGACCATCTGGGCCAAACCATCCCTTACCCAGGGATCCAGCCTGCTTTTTTTTTTTTTTTTTTTTTTTTTTGAGATGGAGTCTTGCTCTGTCTCCCAGGCGTGATCTTGGCTCACTGCAAGCTCTACCTCCCAGGTTCACGCCATTCTCCTGCCTCAGCTTCCCAAGTAGCTGGGACTACAGGTGCCCACCTCCACGCCTGGTTAATTTTTTATATTTTTAGTAGAGATGGGGTTTCACCTTGTTAGCCAGGATGGTCTCAATCTCCTGACCTCGTGATCCACCTGCCTTGGCCTCCCAGAGTACTAGGATTACAGGCGTGAGCCACCACGCCCGGCTGATCAAGCCTGCTTCTTCCACTTCCTCCCCCCAAGGCAGGGGGCCTCGGTGGCAATTTCATCACCTACGCAAGGCTGCATCAGATAAAGAGCCACACAGGGTCATATAGCTCTAGATCCCAGGAATGACAGACCACAGACCCACCCAGCCCCCATACTTTCATGCCCCTGCCCCACAGCCTGCCGTGAGGCTCCACGCAAGCCCACAGGAAGACACATGGCACAGCAGAACACACAGGGCCAAATGTTCCCCTTTATTATGGTTCACTCAGTTACCAAAGACAGACACATTGGCTCAGGCAGCTCAACTGCCAGCTGGGGAACATCCAGCTCCAGAAATAGGGAGCAGCAGCGGCACCAGGAGAATAGCAAAGCAGGTCACTGGGACCCCAGAACTGACCTGGGCCCTCCTCCACTTGACCCCAGGCCAGACCTTCCTGCAAAGATGAAATGTGTGCCCTGCCCCCACTTCTCATACTGGTTCCCTCCCTGGGAGAGTGCATAGTTGCCTGGAGATGCAGCATCCCAGGGCCTGAACAAGCTGGGCCACACACCAGGATCAGGCTTTCCCAAGGGTAAAGCCAGAGCGTGGCCATATAGGTCTGAGCCAAAGAGGCAGGTAGGACAGGATATTGATTGGAGGTAACATCCAACAGGTCATGGGTGCTAAGCAGGGAGCTAGATCACAGGCCTCCTGGAGCCACCAGAGAGAGAAGGAAAAGGGAGCCAAAGGTCTCAGGTAGGAGAGAGGAAGGGAAAGGGAAGAAGGGCCTAGACCTAGGGTCCCTTTTCAGGTACCAGGGACTGTGACCATTGCTCCCTAGAGAGAAAATGGGAGAGAGGAGAGGTAATTATATTTTGTGGCCCAAACCTAAAGGACCATCAGGAAGAGAACTTCCAGAGGTCCCTGGCTCAGGGTGGCCTGGAAGCCTAGGTGTTGGGTTCCAAGCTGAAGCCAGGCCAGAGTAGCCAAGCAGGGTTTGGATTTTTGTCCAAACAGCTCAGGCAGGCTTCTGTTGGGAGAAGGGAAGGTGGGAAATGGGCAGATGCTCTTTGGGTGAGAACCCACTCCCCTTCAGGCCCTGCACACAGCTGGAGCCTCTACCAGCCATGTTCTTATACTGCTTGGAATAGAACAGCCCCATGGGCCTAAAGCCATTCTCCTGAAAGTGCTAGGGAGTTCTGACTGGGTGAGGACAAGCCAAGACCAAGGTCTGTAGGCAGAGGGGAGCAAGTTACCTTGATTTGGAAAACAAAACAAAACTAAAGCCAGAGAGCCTCGCCTCCCACCCCACCTAACCTGAAATCCCATTCAGGCCATTGTGCTTGCAGCCAGGACTGGGCCTGTGCTTCTGCTTGGGCCCTGAGTTCAAGTGCCCAGAACTGCCCTGTGACCAACAGCAAGTCAGGGTGGGGGAAGGCATGCTCCCCTCTCACTGGGCCCTGCCTGCCTTCTCCTCTGACCTTCCCTCTGGGCCTAGCCCTCTGAGCCCCTGTCCCTTCTACCAGATCCAAACAGAACAGCTACTGCTCCCAGGAATCCAACAGTCACTGAGAGACACCTAGATGCCCCAGTGTGCTGGAGCCAGCCAGACCTTCCCCAGGGACCAATCATTACTGACATGCCCTCTGCTCCAGCTGTGCCTTTACATCTGACAACTGCCCAGCATGTCCCAACTCCTCAGGGAAGGCAGTAAGGCAGATGCCACCTGGCACATGGTGCGGTCAGGGTAGGAGAATCAAGCTACAGCAGCTGGGGGCATGGGGAGGAGGCAGAGGGACATATGCAGAGGGGCTCAAGGGGGCTCTGGGGAGAGAAGGAGGAGAAGGCAGGGGAGAGAAAAAAGGAGCCTGCCCCTGCAGACCAAACTCTCAGGCCCAAGTAGAAACCCTGCATTTCCATCCCCTGGGTGTCAGTTACCCAGGTGGGCTCTGCACCCCCAGCTGTGTGCCCCTCCTACATCAGGGGTAAGGCCCAACTCCCTCATCAGCTTCCTTGAACTGTAAATCAAGTTAGATTTGGGGATCTGGGCTCAGTCTCAGGAGCAGGTAAAACTGGGATACTCAGCCTTGGGGAAGACAAAGAAAAGCCACGTAGGAAAGAGACAGACAAACCCTGGGCAAGGGAAGATAGCACAGGGAATGTGACATTAGGGAACAGATGAGGGAGGAGGAGGCTGAGGGAGGGGAGGCCTGGACGGATGAGAAGAGCAAGGGAATATCCTGGGCTTGTACCCATCCTCCCACCCACCACCAAGAGTGCTAAAAACTGCTGCTTCCCAGGAAGACTGAAAGTGGAAGCAGTTCCAGCTTATAACCCTAGGAAGGGGCCAGTCTTTCCGCTATGCATCCCCTGGCCCTGTGAGGGGTCCCTGGACCAGGGTCAGAGGGGCAAGGGGCAGGAGGGGCAGGTGGAGGATGGGGGTGGGGGCTGGTTTAGCTCTAAACACACATCTAGCACCACAACAAGAGACCTCCACTGCACACTATTTCACGAGGGGACACGGACACAGCTACCACCGCACGGGACAGCTCCACGTGCAGCCCACAGCTGAGTGCCAAGAGCAGAATACAAAGGTTGGGGGCCGGGGGACAGACATATACATATATATATATATATATATATATATATGTGTGTGTGTGTGTGTATGTGTGTGTGTGTGTGTGTGTGTATATATATATATATATATATATATATAAAACTCTGGTCCTTTGTACAAAGTAGGGAAGGAGAAAAAGGAAAGGGGGAACCCTGCTTGGTCACCACAAATGATGATGTGGCTTGAGCCCCCTGTCCCAATGGCCCCAGCCCTGCCACCTGGTAGGTGTGGCTGGTTCACATCTCATTGGAGTATGTGTAGTTGGGGGTGGCGGAATACTGAGTCTGAGGCTGATTCATGGCACCCTGGGCTGCCCCCATGGCTGCATTCTGGGCCGCCTGCTGCACGTGTGGATTCTTCCATGCCCCTGTTGTCCACTCCTCCTGAGCTTTGCTGAAACTCCCCCCACTTCCCCGGTAAAATTTATGAACCTGTAGGAAAAAAGAGCATAAGAAAGGGTTAATCAAAGAAAAAAAGACAGCGCATCCAGGAAATAGATGGGACCTATCTGTAAAAAAAAAAACAGTGCTCCCTCCCTATGCATGCCTCTGTAGGAGAGTCCTGCAGGCCATTCCAGAGTGAGTCTCTTGGAAGACCTCAGGATCCTCTTGTAACTTGGAGGAGGGTTTGTTTCAGAACACAGCCCCTTCCCTAAGCCACCTTCTCACCCTTGAGGGGACCACGTACCATGCTGAGGGCGATGAAGGAAAAGACGGCCATCACTGTGAACATGACAGTGGGAATTAGCATCACCACTGCCGAGCCAATGTTCGTTCCGAAGAAGGAGATGGTGGCAATCCAGCCGCTGCAGGAAGAGGCCAGTGTGGGGCTGCGGGCAGGATGAGCGGTGCCCAGGAGCCCCTCTCCCAGAGGAAGGGACCATCTCATTGTCACAGGGAGGAAACATATCACTGGATGCAGAGGGACCATCTTACTGACACCCAAAGGGCCTGTGTCAGTGGCTCAAGAAGACCCCTTCCCTGTGGCTCAGAGGTGCTCTTCAGATACAACACTTCCTTTCCCCAGATTTTCCCATAATCCCTGACACCCCTCAGCCCTCAAGAAACCACTGCCAGGTTCTCCTTCCCTCTGATGCTATGGCTGTACTACTACACTATCCCGAATCCTCTCACTCTCCCAACAACCCATGTCACTCAGGCCCCATAGGCTAGGCAGCTTAGCACACAAAGGTACGCAAAAGATACACCCGCAGTGCCACCCCTTCCAGCCCCAGGCCACACCCCTGCCTCTTACCAGACTCCCCAGCCTGGGATGCCCACGGCCTGGATGATGCTGATGACCAACTGAGCCATGAAGGTAAAGAAGAATGCCATGAAACTGAAGGAGCTGTCAGTCCTGCGGCAGAGGAGGTGGCTCCCGTCACCTGGGCAGAAGGCCAGGGCTTCCCTGCCTTCAAGGCCCCCAAGCCCTTCCAAGTTTAAGTGCGTAATGGACAGAAGACATTTAAAGGCCTTAATTGAGAGGTCAGAATGGGATAGTTTTACCCATACATCTTTGCAAGTTTCCACATGGTAGACCTGTGTGTTGCAACATCGCACAGGGAGGGATTTCCTCATGAACAGACCACCCACTGTTACATGGATGGACGGCTTATTGGCATAGAAATAGATGGCTCCATTGAGGCAGGAATAAACAGTCTCATTGTCAAGGGGATGGACACCGGCACCAAGACAGCTAGCTCCACTGGTACATGAATGGATGGTCCCATAGGCTCAGAGATAGAAAGTCGCATTGGCACTAGAATGGACACCCTATTGGCACCAAAATAGTAGCTAATTGGCACTTAGATAGATGGCCTGATTGGCACAAAGAGATTTAAGGCCCCATTAGCATTGAGATGGATATTCTACTGGCACTAAGACAGATAGCCTTGGTACATTGATGAATAGTCACATGGGCACAAAGATTGAAAATGCCATTTGGCACTAGGTGGACACCCACTGGCACCGAGACAGCAAGTTCCACTGATACGTGGATGGGTGTTCCCTTTGGCACACAGTTGGATGACCTCATTGCACATGAACAGCGTCCATGGTGCGTGGCTGGCTGGTTCCATTGGCACATGGATAGATGGTGTCCTTGGCACCAAGTCGGCTAGCCCCACAGGTACTAGGATGGGCAGCTCCACCAAGACAGGCAGCCCCACAGGCAAAATTTAACATGCAGCTGCCCGAGGAAGGTGATGACAGAAGAAAAAATAGGCCTGGTCTCTCTGTATTTCCCCTACCCAAGGGTAGAGTGAGGAGGAAAGGAACTAACTCTCAGCCCTCTCACCTCAACCTGATACCCCCAGAAAGCCCAAGCCCAGCCCTACCTAGCAATCTGAGCCAAAGGTGAACAAAGGAAAGTGAGTTTGGGGGAGGGTAAAAAAAAAAAAAAGAAGTGAGAAAAGATATGGAGAAGAGGCAGGGGAGACAGGCAAAGAGACGGCTAGGCACTGCAGTTAGTACCAACCACTTACTTGAAGGCCTTGTAAATGGGCCGAAACCAGCAGACGTAGGAGCAGGGTGTGAAGAGGATGAGCCAGAGAAAGGCGAGGCCAAAGTTGGTGGCTCCCCCGCCTCCGATCAGCCACGCGAGACAGCCCACCAGGTTCACGGCCAGCGTGACGCTGTTCACTGCAGGCCCAGGAGCACATGCACACATAGAGACAGACACCCAGGCCCATAGAGAGACACATGAGCACATGGACATGGGCACGCACACACCAGTAACGCAACAGAGACCCACAATCAAGCCAGGCCAACAGCACAGACAAACACAGAGAGATGCAGATACATTCACAGATTCACACCCACACAAAAGACCCACAACCCGTACCAACAAATACATACAGAGACACATGAGACACACATACACACACAGAGGAGTAAAGACTGTAAGAAAGCAAGCTGGGAGCTCGAACCAACCGCCGCCCCCCACCCCAACAACCCCAGCACCCACTCCTGAGAAATCTGGAGAGCACAGGCTCCAGAACCCAGAGCTTCTGCCCAGCAAGCCCCTTTGAAGGGCTCCAAAGCCTCAGGGTGGTAAAATGCTTTTGTCCTTATAAGAATGGCTTCAGCCCCTCACCCTCCCAGACTCACAGCAATCACCAAGTCCAGGACATGGGAAACCGACCTTACACTTTCTCTTTTGAAAGAGGGGCATGGAAAAGGAAAAGTAAAAGGCCTTGTGGAAACATCTCTTCTAGCCATTGTGCCATCTACCTTGCACTTAAATAGGGCAGGCATTGGCGGCTGGAATCTCAGTCTTTTTTTTTTTTTTGAGAGAGAGTCTTTCTCTGTCGCCCAGGCTGCAGTGCAGTGGCCGATCTTGGCTCACTGAAAGCTCCGCCTCCCGGGTTCACACCATTCTCCTGCCTCAGCCTCCCAAGCAGTTGGGACTACAGGCGCCCGCCACCATGCCCGGCTAATTTTTTTTGTATTTTTTTAGTAGAGACAGGTTTTCACCTTGTTAGCCAGGATGGTCTCGATCTCCTGACCTCGTGATCCACCCGCCAAGGCCTCCCAAAGTGCTGGGATTACAGATGTGAGCCACCACACCTGGCCTTGGAATCTCAGTCTTTATTTAATCTATTTCTTTTTTTTTTTTTTTTGAGATGGAATCTTGCTCTGTAGCCCAGGCTGGAGTGCAGTGGCATGATCTCAGCTCACTGCAACCTCCACTTCTCAGGTTCAAGCGATTCTCCTGCCTCAGCCTCCCAAGTAGCCGGGATTACAGGCACCCGCCACCATGCCCAGCTAATTTTTATATTTTTAGTAGAGATGGGTCTTCGCCAAGTTGGCCAGGCTGGTCTCGAACTCCTGACCTCAGGTGATCCACCCGCCTTGGCTTCCCACAGTGCCAGATTATAGGTGTGAGTCACTGTGCCCAGCTATCTAATCTATTTCTTAGATAACTCTCATGCCAGCTCCTCGAAGAAGTCTTCCTTTGCTACTGCAACCTCATCATCTCCCATCCCTCTGACCTTCTGCTGACCTGGGCTGCTCTCAAGTTTCCCCAGATGTAAATCCCAGCCCATCAACCAGACTAAAAGTTCCCCAAGAACAGGACCCAGGCTCTCCCTCCTCTGTCCCCACCTCATCTATCTGAACTAGGAGGCATAGTGTCACTGAGTCATGGCCAGCAGGGACCTCAAAGATTTACAGATAAAAGTGATGCTGGTACTAACACACACCCAGGTCTGTGCAGCACATCATTATCTAACATCAGGGCACTCCCTTCCTTGAAAACAAAGCCAAGTCCACAAAGACCTGCTGAACAAACAAACGAAGGAGGGCTCAATCATGGCCTCAAACAGCCAGGCATCTGTGGTCCTGTCTTCTGAATAAAACTCTTAAGCACCTCAAGGGTTATATACATTTCCTTGGGAGTAAACCACCTGGTGAGTGCCTAGTGAGGACTTAAGGAGATATTTATAGCCCTTAAATCCAGCTTCTGGATGAGATGTTCCCAGGAGTGGAGTTCCCAGAGTCCAGGTCAGACAGTGACCCACAAGCCTGGCCTGACCACCATGTCACCCATCTCAGGGCCCCTCATAATGAGTGGGCATTTCTTCCTGTACATTCAGCTGTATTTCCTCTATCCCTGTTCATTGTCCCAAAATCTCCTGGAGGCTTGGTGTTAAGAACTGATTTTATTTGCTCTTTATATAGAAAAGACACTAACCTATTACATTGGTTACATCTCTCCCTAGTCCAACCTGTCCCCAGCTCCTTTGCTCAAACACTTCTGCTGCAATTACTCTGCTTCCTCTCTGGAATGGATACCCATGGGCTCAGCCCCTCTCTCTCTAGCGATTAGTTTCTGTCTGTCTTCACTCTTCCCCCTATCCAGCTTAGATTCCATAATTCATTACTCATTTTCTTATTCCCTCTCCTGCCCTGTCTTCTGGTCACACTCATCCTAGATGAACATAATTCTCATCTGTACCTGAGCTGAATGTCGCTGAGAAAAAAGGGGACCCCATGAGGAAGACTGGCAGGTGTATAAATTCACATCAGCCAACCTCAAATGGACCTTGTGTGTGGCCCAGAAATCTTAGGGGCCAGGTTTCTTTGGAGAGTGTCCTCACTCTCTGTCTACAAACATGGCCATAGCCTCGCCCTGAGCCCACTCTCCCCACTACATCATATTTGATGGAAAAAACGGAAGCCATCAGAGTTAACTTCCTTATTTGCTTCCCAACATCTACAGACTTACCCACACCTGTTCCATCCCCCCTTCTCTCAGGTTACATGGTAGGAGATCCCTTCTTCACTCAAAGGCCAAGCCAGGCCTTGAAACGGAGTCTGTCTGCCCCATCCTCTTCCTACCATGCCATGGGGGACCTGCTGCAAAGACAGCATATTTTACCACCTTCCTGGCATGTGCAAGCATCTGCCCAGGTAGGCAGCTAAGTGCAGGCCTCACTGAGGGCAATGTCACACATAGCAGAATCCAACTGTAGTCACACTGCGGGTATCTTTGGCTTCTGGGGTTCACACCCAGCACAGGATAGCCAGCCTGCCTTCCCCTCACATGCCTAAGAGGTACCTTCTAACCAACCTCAGCACAGCCAAGTCCCATCCTCCCAAGAAGACACCTTTCCCACCACCTGCTGCAGATCACCAGAAATGAGGCCTTTACACTCTCAACCTTAAAACCTTAGAACATTGATGCTAAGGTTTTCTAAATAAAGAATTCTAGATTATTTAATTTTTTTTTTAGAGACAGGTGCTTACTCTGTCACCCAAGGTGGAATGCAGTAGCATGATCATAGCTCACTGCAGCCTTGAACTCCTGGGCTCAAGTGATCCTCACACCTTAGTCCCCTGAGTAGCTAGAACTACAGGCAAGTGCCACTATCCCTAGCTAGTTTTCTTAAGAGATGGGGTCTTGCTATGTTGCCCACACTGGTCTCAAACTCCTAGGCTCATTGGATCCTCTGCCTTGGCCTCCTGAGTAGCTGGACTACAAGTGTGAGCCACCACACAGGCCTAATTTTTTTTTTTTTTTAATTTTCTGTAGAGATAGGGGTCTTGCTGTGTTGCCCAGGCTGGTCTTAAACTCCTTACCTCAAGTGATCCTCCTGGCTTAGCCTCCCAAAGTGCCAGGATCACAGGTGTGAACCACTGTGCCTGACATTAGACTCTTACAGGTACAGACCACCCAACACAGAGCTGCATGGAATCACAGCAATCGCCAAGCCAATACTCTCTTCCTACAAATGAGGAACCTGCTGCTTGGGAAGCACAGTGTCCAGGCGAACATGACCCCACAGCTCCCAACTCCCAGTTGAATCCTCCTCTTTGAGCAATCTTCCAGAGAAAGCAAGACAAATAAGGTTTTGAGGGAAGGATTCCTCTCCAAATCCAGAATCCTGAGGTCCTGACAGTCCTCAGATGTTCCCTGGAAAGTTACTCCAGTGGAAGGGAAAGGGGAAGCAAGAAGACAGGGATTACACTGCAGAGAGGGACCCCTGTCCAGATGCTCTGTGAAAGGAGGGTGGAGGGGAAGGAAGGGAGGAGAGGCCTAGATGGGGAGGTTGATGGAAACTGAGGCCCAGTCGGGGAAGTGGCCCATGGAAGAAGCCTCCGGGAGCCTGGCAGGGGAAGACTTATGGTCCATGCATATGCCACAGTGGGACTGAAGGACAGTCGGGCCTGTGGGCACCCCATCCTGCTGCCCAGCACGCCCAGTCTTCCTTCCTCCTCCAGTCACCCTGGCCCACCCCCATCCCACGGCACTCACACATCCAGAGGTAGTAGAGGCGCTTGGTCATGCTGAGATGCTGGGGAGGAATGTCTGCCTCAAAGTCTTGGTAGAAACATGGCTTCAGCGGGATGAATTTGGGCAATGGTGGGAAGTTGTTCACTTTCTCTGTGGATGAGACACATTGCACAACATCACTTCCAGTCTTTCCCCTGACAATCCAAGACGCTCATCATTTCTCTGGCTGTGCTGCCCTATTGGCCCCTGTGGCCACCGGCTGCTCTGTTTCCCCCACTCAGCCGTCCCTACCTCCCCAGGTCAGCTGAGATGATCCCAAAGTAGCCAAATGCCCTAAGACAGTGTCACTCAGAATAAAAAACAATGTCACCTTGACAGACCACAGTTATTGTTTTTTAATTCTGAGTGACACTGTCTCGGGGCCTCAAGGTGCCACCCTCTCAGCGGGGGCAGCTCCAAGCAGAGGAAGCGGGATGTGTGAGAATCTACAGATGTGGGTTCCAGCCTCCATTCAGCATTTGTGCTCTGGGGCAAATCATCGCCCCTCTCTAGACCTCAGTTTATCTGCCTAGTGGGGGCTGGGCTACACGGTTCTTAAAGTTCCCTCCAACTTTGGCATTCTATACCTCTGAGCCTTCTGAACCAGATAAAAAAAGGCCTCAGAGTATTAGAAAGCAATAGAGACAGAGGGGAGGGGGGCCACTAATCAGGCAGATGGACAGTAAGACAAGGACATCAAGGTGCTCAATTCCTGGTCCCTAGGACCAAAGATCTGACAGAGGGCTAGACAATGTCATGTTGAGGTTCTCAGACACGCCTCAGTGGAGAGAGTGGGGAAAGCTTAGGGACAATAAGATGGAAAGAACCTGGCCTCCAAAGACTAGGGGAGATAAGGGGACCAGGAAGAGGGCCATCCACGCTATGCTCACTGTCATATCCTACCCACACAGCCTGCCCCTCTCCTTACCTGCCATGATGGTACCAGTTGGCCCAGTGGCCTGCCCACACCTCTTGTCCTGAACTGGAAGGAAAGAAAAGCCAGAGAAGGATGAGATCGGACCACACTCAACCCAGTCCCTCTCTACTCCCCATCTGCGTAGCAAGCTCCCCAGGACAGGACCCAGCACATACTCCCACAGTACCGTGAACACAATGGAGGCAGCTCCCCTCCTCCCAGAGCCACCCTTCCACCAGCTGCATCTTCCCAGCTGCTCCTGCCCTCTGCCTCAAGGTACAAAATCTACCCTCCGAAAACCCCATCCAAGGATGGGAAAGGAACCTGGGAAGGGATCCCATATAGGGAAAGCCAAGTGACATTCTATTCCTTGACCTTGAAGTACAGACTGAGCCTCAGTCTTGGTCACAGGCTAGCCTCCCTTCACTCCTTTTGCCTTTGTTCATTTATTAAGACACTTATATGGTGCTGGAAGAGAGAATGAGCAAGACAGATGTGGTCCCTGCTCTCCCCATGAAACAATCACCTCTGCAGTAAATCATATAAAAGGCAAGCACAGCTGCCGTGAAAACATATATAGCATGTCACAGTGATCTAATCTGGTCTGGGGAGTCAGGGAAATTAAATTATTTTAATTAAAAAAACTTTTTTTGAGATGGGGTCTCTCTCTGTTGCCCAGGCTGGAGTGCAGTGGTACAAGTTCAGCTCACTGCAGCCTCAGCCTCCCCAGGCTCAGGTGATCCTCCAAGCTCAGCCTCCTAAGTAGCTGGAACTACAGGCATGAACCATGCCCAGCTAATTTTTATATTTTTTTGTAGAGTCTGAGTTTCGCCATATTGCCCAGGCTAATTTGAATTCCTAGGCTCAAGCAATCCACCTGCCTCAGCCTCCCAAAGTGCTAGGATTATAGGCATGAACCACTGTACCCAGCCTCAGGGAAATTAAATACAAGTGGTAGTAAAGACCTGAAGAATGAAGAAGAGTTCCCCGGGCAAAACAGCCTTCCAGACAGATGGGAAAGCATCCTACAGGGACAGTTCCTCACTAGGAAGGAGCTTCACACTTGTGTTTTTTCTTAGACAGGGTCTCACTCTGTCACCCAGGCTGGGGTGAAGTGGCACTCCCGGGCTCAAGCCATCCTCCTGCCTCAGCCTCGAGTACCTAGACTACAGGGACAGGCTACTATGCTAATTTTTAAATATTTTGTAGATAGGAGGTCTTGCTGTGTTGCACAGCTGGTTTCAAATTCCTGGCCTCAAGCAATCCTCCCGCTTTGGACTCCCAAAGTGCTGGGATTATAGGCATGAGCCACCTATCATAAGGGAAAGAAAGCCACTATGGCCAAAGCAGAAAGCAAATGAGGGAGCAGCAGATGAGGCTAGAGAGGCAAGGTGGGCAGGCTGTGCTCCCTGAGACCCTTCGGAGACAAGTTTGAAGGAGTCTTGAGGTGGTTTTAAGGAGTAGGGGAAAGGGAGCAATTGGAAGACTCCCTGCCCACTTAACTCCGAGTGGATGGTGGAGACCCATCATGACAAGCCTGTGTGAGATGAGGCGGAGGTTCCAGGGGAGGACAAGCAGCGTGTGCTATGGACATGCAGGATATGAGACGCTGGGGGACACCTGGACAGGGCGTCTTATAGGAATCTGGAATGTACAAACATGCTCTGCTCCTGGAAGTTCAGCAGCAGGCCTGGTTGACCCATGCTAAGTAATCATTGGCAAGTTAACGCCAAGGAAACCAAGCAGCAATCACCTTGTTAGAACAGTAACTTTGGTGGACATTTATAGAGTCAACAGCAGAAAATGGTCCACAACCAAGTGCTAAGGCAATGCAACATTTAAAAGCTGGGCAGAAATTTGCTTAAAGTTTTGGAACAGGAAAAACTAATCTATGGTATTAGAAGTCAAGACAGCATTACCCTTGATGGGGCAGCAACTGAGGGCCCAGCATCTGTTCCTGGTAGGGGTGCTGGATACACAGAGGTAGATTTTGTGAACATTCTCCAAGCATACAGTTACAACTTGTGCAATCTCCTGTGTGTTAGACTTCCATGAGAAGTTTGCTTTAAAATAAAAACTTCAGGCTAGGCGCAGTGGCTCACACCTGTAATTCCATCATTTTGGGAGGCTGAGGCAGGAGGATCACTTGAGACCAGTAGTTCAAGACCAGTCTGGCCAACATAGTGAGATTCCATCTCTACAAAAAATAAAAAATTAGGCAGGCACGGTGGTGCGTGCCTATAGTCCCAGTTCCTCAGGAGGCTGAAGTGGGAGGACTGCTTGAGTCTGGGAGGTGGAGGCTGCAGTAAGCCGTGATTGTACCACTGCACTCCAGCCTGGGCAACAGAGCAAGACTGTCTCAAAGGAAAAACATACACACACACACACACACACACACACATATAAAAACACTTCTAGCATTCCAGTCAAATTCCTCTGGACCTGATTAAAAGATCAGGCAATTACAATCTTTTGGGCCCTTTTGTGATATGGGATCAAATACAGATATAAAAACCCAGTAACATCTACCACAAAAAGAAAAGAGAAGGGTATGATAGAGACAATCAGGAAATGATATCCATACACAGGTGCATTAATTGCAGCACTGTTTTGAATAACAAAGGATAACATCAATAGGGGACTGATTAAACCAATGGTACAGTCATACAATGGACTGTTCCGCAGCTATTTTTAAAAATGCTCTGCAGCTGTTAAAAATTTTAAAAAGAGAAAGAGGTTCTCCGGGTACTGATATGGAAAAATCTCCAAAAACATGATTAGTTAAAAAAAGCATGATGTACAACAGTCTGTATGGTAAACCTTTCATGTTAAAGGAAGAGAATAAGAATATATTTTCCTTTTAACCTAATAATCCTGATCCTGTTAGTCATTTACCCAGATATAAGAAATGACAAACACACACGTTATTCAACATGACACTACTTGCATTAGCAAAATGCTGAAAGCAACCTAAATGTGACTATTTAAATATACAAGATGCATCATGCAATAGAGTATTACACAGATGTAAAAAAGAGGCCAGCCACGGTGACTCACACCTGTAATCCCAGCACTTTCAGAGGCGAAGGCAGGAGGATCACTTGAGGTCAGGAGTTTGAGAATAGCCTGGCCAACATGGTGAAACCCCATCTCTACCAAAAAAATACAAAAATTAGCCGGGCATGATGGCATGAGCCTGTAATCCCAACTACTCATGAGGCTGAGGTGGGAGAATCTCGAACCCAGAAGGCAGAGGTTGCAGTGAGCCAAGATTGCGCTGCTGCACTCCAGCCTGGGTGACAGAGTGAAACCATGTCTCAAAAAAATAAAATAAATTTAAAAAAAAATAAAGATGAGCTCAGTAAACTGCTGTGGAATGCTTTCCAGGATATATTAAGTTTAAAAAAAAAAAAAAAAAGCAGAGGACGAAAAGTGTAAATCATATGCTACCCCTTATGTAAGAAAGGGGAAGTAAAAATGCACATATGAATTTGCTTATTTTTGAAAAGAAACACAGGAAGAATCAACCAGAAAGTAATGGATGAGTAGAGAGACTTCCATTCTTTACATACTTGTTAACAAGCTTTTTTAATATACTTGTACACATAAAATGACTTCCATATTTCAAAAACTTAAACCAAAAAGAAAAGCAAACCCTAAAACTGAAACAAAAACAAATCAAGCTAACTATACTTTAAATTGCTAACAATCTTACAGACAAAAAAAAAAAAGGCCCAAGTAACTTTTGATCACAGTAATTCTGTGTACTCTTAGAAAGATAAACCTCAAGGGCAAAAATAAGTGCAAACAGGCTGGGTGCAGTGGCGTATGACTGGAATCCCAGCACCTTGAGATGCCAAGGCAGATGGATCACTTGAGCTCAGAAGTTCAAGACCAGCCTGGGTAACACAGCAAGATACAGTCTCTAGAAAAAATACAAACATGGCCAGGCACGGTAGCTCACGCCTGTAATCCCAGCACTTTGGGAGGCCGAGGCGTGTGGATCATGAGGTCAAGAGATCAAGACCATCCTGGCCAACATGGTGAAACCCCATCTCTACTAAAAATACAAAAGTTACATGGGTGTGGTGGCATGTGCCTGTAGTCCCAGCTACTCGGGAGACTGAAGCAGGAGAATCGCTTGACCCTGGGAGGCAGAGGTTGCAGTGAGCCGAGATCATGCCACTGCCCTCCAGCCTGGCGACAGAGTGAGACTCCATCTCAAAAAAAAAAAAAAAATACAAACATTAGCGGGACATGGTGATGTGCGCCTATAGTCCCAGCTTCTCCTGAGGTTTGAGGTGAGAGGATCACTCCAACTCTGGAAGTCAAGGCTGCAGTGAGGTGTGATTGTACCACTGCACTCCAGCCTGGGTGACAGAGCAAGACCCTGTCTCAAAAAAAGAAAAAGAAACTGCAAAAAAGTCATGAATTTTAGCAGGTTTACTCTTACTGCTGGTATTGCTGCAATGACTCTAAAGCTTTGCCATGTATACTACAGAAGAGGGCAAATGAGTCAGTGTGCTGATGATTTGGGGAGGGTGGGTTCTCACTGAAGGAGACAGAATACAGACCATGGAAAGGTAAGAAAGAGCCTTGTGGTGTTGGATTCAAAGCGGAGGTATCAGTATGAACACAGAATTTTTTAAATATATATGGCTGGTTCCAAGCCAGGAAAAGGAAATACAAGGTTAGCCTGGAACATCTTGTGGTATCAGAAAGAAGAAAGTACTCAATAACTAATGGAGGCAAGTCAAAAGGACACAAGAGCCAATCTGAAAAGGCTACAACCAACCAAATTTGGGACAATTAGAGTATCAAAAGTAATAACCATGTGAATTTTTTTTTCTTTTCTTTCTTTCTTTTTTTTTTTTTTTTTTGAGACAGAGTCACGCGATGTTGCCCAGGCTGGAGTGCAGCAGCGTGATCTCAGCTCAGGCAACCTCCACCTCCTGGGTTCAACTGATTCTCCTGCTTCAGCCTCCCGAGTAGCTGGGATTACAGGCACCCCGCCACCACACCCAGCTAACTGTTTTTTTATTTAATTATTTATTTATTTTTTGAGA